GTCTGTTGGTTTGCATTTTTAAATTTTTACAGGTTTCAACTGTGCAAAATTTAATTGGTGCATATTATTGTGGCTTGTGGGGCTTGTGTGGCTTATACAGTCTCCACTGCCCCCCCCCCCCCCCCCCCGCCTAGTCTGTGGTACGTGGCTTGTGTACGTCCCCCATTCAAATTGGGGATTTTAAATCCGGTCTCATGTCTCACCTTCGCATAAACTAGAGCGATTTAAAAAGAAAATAAGAGAGCTAAAGAAATCTAAACACAGCAAAAACTAACTTGATGACGAATCTTCTTATCTCTATTCTTGGTAAAAGGTTGGCAAGGAGTCAATGCCCCATCGCAAAAACGTGGCCCATCCCTTTCCGGATTCATCTTGGAAATCCTGGAACACGGGAAGCCTGTCTGCCGTCCCTGATCTACTTTCGATGCCAAGATTGTTTGGTTATCTGGGTGTTTATGTCTGCAGCGTCGTATCGCAGCGGTGCCCAGCTGTGCCAGTCCAACCCACTCTGCCACTGCAACCCCCGATACTACGGCGCGGCTCAAATTAAGCATTATAGTCTGTTACAGCGCCGTCTCAAACCCTTGCCGCTCGACGTCTTGTCCAATTCTTGTCCTCTCCCATTCTTCAATAGGGTCCGCCCATTAACCTTCTTTTTAGAGTAGATCTATACCCCAGTGGGGGTGCTGACTATTCCTGTCATCCAGTAATCGAGACAAGCCTTGGAAAGTCTTGGCTGTCGTTTGTTTCTTTAACGACCCTGCGCGTCTAGGCGATGTCAAGATGTCAAGGCTCAGTCTCATCCTTGGCACTCCTGGGGAGTCATTACCCGATCTAGAAGTGTTGACGGGAAGTGCCAGATCCGCGCGTCTCAAGTACGCTCGTCCACGTCGAAGATCAGTATGGAAAACCAAGACAGTTGAAGGCACCTGTCATCCGTAGTCATATTGTATTCATCCCAGCATGGGTTGCCATAGAACATCTATGAGACGAGATCTCCGTACTTAAAGACGCCGAGCCTACTGCTATTTGTGACTTTCCTTTTTTCTCTCTTCATCCTCTGTGAGTTATAGTATCTCTAGTTGATCAAGCTTTCGTTTCGCCTTCTTAGCAGCATATTCACACAAGCTCGTCGCCGGCCGACCTTTACCATTCTTTCAGTCTACAGCAAAAGACGACCAATCAGTCAAAATGAAGTACTCTGTCGCTATCTTCGCTCTCTTCAGCACCCTCGCCATGGCGGAACTCAGTAAGTGTTACTCCGAACGATCCGTTCGTCTAAAGACACAGACGCTAATTCCCCCTTGCAGAGAAGGTTCCCCGATCGGAGAAGTCCAACATCGTCTCTCGACAGGCTGGCGCAGCTCAAGTGCAGACCGCTGCTATGGCTAGCGCCAACGGAGATATCATTCCTTTCGACACTGCCGGTGTCTACAAGGCCAGCACCGACTCGGGCTTGTAAAAACCCACGGGTTAGAATACGACAATTAGGGTGATGGATTATCCTGTCCAGCATACAACTCAACCATTCGACAACAATCCTTTGACGGATTCAAGCGAGGAACCATAAATTGTACGACAACCGGCGTCAAGGGTATAATAGAGTAATAAGATACGCGGGAGGGGGACGGAAACATGATGGATGGAATAGGGCTCAATATGAGCTGGGCTTGAACTTATACCTAGAGTATTTGTGAATATCTGTTAATATTTACCAATCACCCCAAGCTTGAAGTTTTTAGTGCTGCATTCTTTCGTCGCGATTTGCGAAGAAGCATACCCCATTTCTGACCTATCTGCTAAGTACATGCAGTTCCTAGCGTCAAGTAATGATATGGCGATCTGTGTTCTCCCTCGCATCGAAACGTTACCATACTCGCTACCGTCCCAGTGCAAGGGATGCTGGTGTCAACTTTCTGGGGAAGAAAGGAAAAGAAAAGAGCAAATGGGTGCGGAGAAACAGAACTGACGACTTGGCACGGATAAGCCCGTCCTTCAACGGCGCTCCCAGAGACGATTCAATTTGTTATTGATCTGTATGACGGACTAACGACTCAATGTCGTGTAACGTCCGACGACGCCGACAAAAAATAGAGGGAATAATTCATCCGTCTTATTTATGCCAATGCTTCACCGATTTCTGTGCCTCTTTTCATAAAATTAAGCGAGGTTATTGACAAATATTTTCCGATCCATCAAAATTTCACCAGCCTCCTAGAGCTTATTAATCAATCGTAATTTTCGTCGTAATTTCATGGAGAACAGAAGAAGGAAAAAAAAAAGTCGTCGCACCAACGACGCGGAGGAGTCATTCGAGAAAACACAGCCACATGCGCTGAAAGCATGGGCAAATTCCCCACAAAGGTTTTAGGGACAATTGAGATATTCGCGGTGAGAGCGGGCAAATTTAGACCGTGCTGAATCCAAAATTAGAATCACCACCACGGGGCTAAGATTTTTAGCTAATCAAAATCCAAAGACTGAAAGACCCAATCTGCCAAGTGGTATGTTGGTATCAGGTACCAATAACTTTGACAGGAAGAAATATTAATCCTATTAACCGACCGTGTGAGCTCGAAGACCCCCTCGGCCCCGAAACATGGTCATCGTCAATTAAGACCTGCGCCTCCGACAAACGACTACGCGACCTCTCTCGGGATCCAGGGTATGAATTTCATACCGTAAGTACTGAATGAACAAGAAGAAAACGATCATCTCGTGAGATTGTATCGTGTTGTCGCCTACCGCGCAAGCCCATTACTTCGAGCAACGTCATAGGAGGACCCATCGATTCGTAGGACTTCGCGTCATTTTATAATGATTGATGAACTGCGAGTGTGTAGGAGCCAGGTTTTCATGCTCCATTCGTCTGCCGTTGAACACTTCATCCCTTCTCCATCTTGGTAATGCTGATGATTGGACCTTTCTATGTCAGCTAAGCTGGATCCGGGTGTCCGGTCCCAGGGTCTTACCAGCCCACTCAGCCGCAACCCATCCTTAAGCCCTACCATTACCCGTCTGGGTTTGGTGAGAGCCAGGTCTCACTGCACGATGTGGATTCTGTGGGTGTTAGCTTTCGACGGATCCCATCACGACCCAATCGACGTCTGTTGTTACCGAAGCCATCACTGGCGCCAGCACAAGGCGTTTTTGTCCGGTGCATTTTTGGCATGAAGTCAAGCCTCTGCTGTGGTTAGTGATTCCTTTCCCGCAGTGATGTGCTAGTCCCGAGGATGAGTGCCTGCCCACTGCCTGGGCTGAAGACAAAATGTGGTTGGCTTAATTTCCACCAACTGGTGCCTGCCGCAGCTCGCAACAAGGACCATGCTTCTGCGTAGGACTTGGCACAATGGGGATTATTGAGGCTATGCCGCCTGTAGATCATCTTTCCCTTTCTACCTAATTTCATTGTAAGGGCCTTTATATAGCATCCATCACGCCCGAGCGGATTTACTTCGCATGGCTGGGTTAGCTCCCGTCGTATGATATTATTCGCCTCTAGCGACGACTCCTTACGAATACAATCGAATCTTTGTGTAATCATAATCAGAACTTCGGAAGATGGACTTGTAGTGCTTACTTCCTATATAAGCACAGGTTAATATTAAAAGAGCTTGGACTAATCGAATATTGGACTTCGTCGAGTCGAGGGGCGAAAAGAATTAACTACCAAATCGAAACCTCATTGACAGACAAAACGAACAATGGGTTATACACACCGGGATAATGCGCAATTCAGCCGCTCGGGATGGAGGAAGAGGATACTTCTGCCATGCTGGATCATCCAAATCGGGCTTCTGCTAGCAACAATGGGTTTATTCTCATACCGATTGTCGCATACGATAAAAACGTGGAAAGACGAAGAGGATTTGGGAAATATACCAATGGTGGAGTTTGTGTAAGTCGGGACACTCGGAGTAGGAAGGGAATGTTGAAATAAGTCAGACTAACGATCGTTACCTACAGATGGGAAGCCGTCAACGTCGCCTTTTCCTTCATCTCCCTTGTGATAACATTCTTCTCGATAGCGAAATTTATCGCTGAGGTGTTGACGCCGCTTCCGTTACTATTCAGCAATATCCTGAACCTGGTCTTCGCATCAGCAGTTCTGGCCCTAGACATTGTGGTTTACCTCAAGCATACGGAGAAGCAATACTCGTTAGCAGGCCTAGCGATGGACTGCGCTCTCATGTAAGTCATTCCCGAACTGGCGCGTTCGACAAAAGTACTAATTTGAGTTAGGTTCTTCACAATCATCCCAGCAATATACTCCTATATCATTTACCGTCGCCTGCTGAGCTACGACGACTACCACATCCCCGGCAACGTCAAGCCGTATGGTTATGCCAGCGAACCCGAAGATACAGCGTACCGTTCATCATGGCTCGAACCACCAGTACCTTATGACCCCACAAATCCTGGAGGAGTAACACGGCCGCGGGCCCTCTCCGCCGCTAGCCGCCGCCTTTCTTTGTCGCTTAGCAGCCGTGCCGCGTCACCGCAGCTAACGCCTCCAACCCCTGAACGCGTACCTGGGGAGCGCCGCGGGAGCTATACCCACAAGCGGGATACCCAATTTGACGAATACGTGAAGCGGCGGTCAAGTGGATACACTAAACTTGATGTGGAGCGCGCTCTTGGCGTCGAATTTGGTTGGGAAGATACCCAGGATACGCGGGATAGTATGATCAGCTCGGGAAGCGTAACTATTTCGCAAGCGAGAGCAAGAGGCGACTCGCTATCGACGCAGCAGGCGAGCATGGAAGCAATTATTAGCAGAAATAGCAGCACCGCGACTACTACCACCAATACCAACTCGACCGTAACGCTAGATGCGCCGAGTGGGATGGTGAGAGCGCATAGTTTGAACAGCGTTCCTGAAGCGCAGGAGGAAGAGGGGCTTGGATTGGAGAAAAAGAAGACGAAGGCAGACCGCGAGGCGCTTCTTAGCGGCGTTGAAACCAAAGGAATATCACGATCCAGCTCTGGATCCAGTAGGAAAAGCGTGCGACTGATCGAGCAAGTCGACGGGTTGGAAGATATCGACCTTAATGGTCAAAGACGGAAGAGGAATTTGTGATACCCGGTGGTCGAAAAAAAGGAAAAGAGATGAAAATGAAATAAAATACCCACTTGTACAAGCTAACCGCGAATTTCGGTATCTGTACATATAATGTGATATGATAAGTTCCAGTCGTTCCTGCTTCTGTTTTTAATCATTGATGTTGAATCTGGAGTTTTAGGTGTACATAGCTGCTACTTGTTCTATTTAACCTTATTTGGGTACCTGACCCAGTAGGGAGTACATATTACATAAGCCTTCCAGTTATTAGATACCATTTTTAACTTCAGCTTTGAAACTTAGATAGATTAATATCAATATGAGAATTATAATCAGTTTATCTTCTTATTCTCCTTAATAAAAAAGTTTCAATCCTCTTTGATTAAAAATAATTCTCACTTTGATTTTTATTTCCACATTACCGTACCCCGCCCCCATAGGGCCATCGCTATTTTCCGACGTTACAAAAAAACCACCCCTGTCAAAATTGGGTAGTTTCCTTCCATTAAGAAATCACTTAAAAAACAATTAATTTATTAAAAAGATAAAAAAGAAAGAAAAATAATAAAAACGTATAACATTAAGGATTTATTAATCGTTATTAACTTAATTATTAATCCGGCGATAATATAAGTTTTTTATGGGAATAATAATAATTATTTTTAATTATTTTTAAAATTAAAATTAGTTATATAAAATTTTTTACTATTTAAAACGTGAAAATTTAAAATTAAATATATAAATTAAAAAACGGGTTTTAATTTTAAACGTTAATTTAATATAATTTAAACCGTAATTTATATTAAAACGTTTATTAATAAATTAAATTAAAATATTATATTATATTATAAATATAATAATAATTTTTTATTATAAATAAAAACTTTTACGAAAAATTTTTTTTATTTTAAGAAAATTACGTAAGTAATTAAATTTTAATAATATTTTTAAAATATCGATTTTATATAATAAATTTAATGTTTTTTTTTTTTATTATATTAATAATAATTTTATTATTATTTATAAACGTTTTAATTCGAATAATTTTATTTTTATTATAAGAAAATTTTTTTATTAATTATTTAAAAAATAAGTGTAAACGTTTAATATAAAATAGAAAAAATTAATAATTAAAGTTTATATATTTTTTTATTATTATATTATTATAAACGTATTTTTAATAAAAAAACTTATTATTATAATTAATAATTTATTAATAAACTTTTAAGTTTTTTTATATAATTTAATAGTTTTTTAATTAAAGATTTTATTTTTATTAATACGTTATTTATATATTATTAAAATAATTATGTCGAAAAAAAAGTTACGATTTTTATAAAATTATATAATAAAGTTTACGAGTTTAACGATATCGTAATTAATTAAATTTTTAAAAATTAAAACGTAAAAATAATAATTAGTTTTAATTTTATATTTTTTTATTAATTTTTAAAATTAAATTAACGTAATTAAAATGTTAGTTTCGTTATGTGTAATATTTAAATATTAATAATAAGTTTTTTAATTAATAAGTTAAAATCGATTTAATTATACGTAATGGTTAATATAATTAATAATATTATTTTTATTTAAAATATTATTTTTAATTAAATTTTCGTTTAATAAATACGCATTTATTAAATTAATAATTAAGGATAAATTAAATTGTTTAACCGTTATTAACCGTCGTATATTTTTCGAAATAATTTTTATAAATAATAAAAAAAAGCCGATTTTATTTATTTTATTTTTAAGAATAGTATTAACTTTTTTTTTTTAAAAAACGGAAAAAACGGACGTATTATATTTTATTATTTTATTTTTATGTTACGTAATATTTTCGATATTTTAATTTAATAACGATATATAATTTAAACCGATAAGGGTAAAATTACACGTTATAAATTTCGAAAAAATATTAATTATATCGTATTATTTATTAACATATATTTTATAAATAATAACATTGATTCGTTCGTTTTGAAAAACGTGTATTAATAATAATATAAAGAATTATAAATAATTTAATTAATATAAAATTTTCGTATTTTATAAAATATTTTAAACTTAGAAAAAATATTTAATAAAAATTTCTTTTATAATAAGTTTAAAATTAATTCGAATACGTTCGCGTTTAGTATATAAATAAAGTAATATATATAAGTTAATTTTAATGTTTATTTATATTTATTAAAAATAATTTCGGAAAAAGTTTTTTATAAAAACGCATATGTTTTTTTTATTTTTCGTTTTTATTATATAAATAATATTTAATTTTTTTAAATTTTATTTTTAATTAACGGTAATTAATAAATATAAATAAATTAATATATATATTTTAATATTTTAAGTTATTTTTTTATGTAATAAATATTAAACCGAGGTTTTTAAAATTAATTTAAATAACATTTTCGAATATTAAAATAAATAAAAAATAATTTAATCGTTTTTTAATAATTATGTAACTTTATTATAATAATAGTTAAATTAAAATATTAAAATAATAGTTTTTATTTAAAAATTAAATGTAAAATTACGTAAATATATTAAGGAAAAAAAATTACTCGTAATTATAATTTATAACTTATAGTTTATAATTTATAATTTATACATTTAATTTTAAATATATTTTATTAGTTTAATATTTTTTTTTTATTAATTTTTTTATTAAAATATTTTTTAATATTATTTTTAATTTAATTAATAATGAAAAATATTATAAAAATGCGTGTTAAAATAAAAAAAAAGAAATTTATTAAAATTTTTTAATAAGAAAATTATTAAATATTTTAAATAATTATATACGAAATATTTATTTTATTTTTTTTTAATTATATATTTTATTTTTTAAATAATAATAATTTTATAATTATTTAATATAATAATTAATAATGAACGGTTAAAGTTAAATTAATTTATATTTTACGTTTATTTTAACCTATTTTTTGTTTAGAATTCGTTACGGATTATAAAACGTACGGGTTATTTTTTTAATAAAGGTGAACCGGCGGTTTTATTGTTTAAATTTATAAGAAAAATTTTTTATTTTCTTTTTTCCCGGGTAATTTTTTTCTTAGTTTATTAATCCGCCGTTTCGTTATTTAGTTTACCCGCGCGGCCGATAAAAATCGGAACCGGCGTTAATTACTTTTTAAAAGTTTTTTAAAAAATGTTTTAAAAAGCTTTTAAATATTATTATATTATTAAAGTAAAAGTAAAACTTTTTCGAAATATAATAATTTAAAGTTAATATTTAAATTATCGTCGATTTATTTTTTTTTTTCATTTATTATATTATTAATTAAAAAACTTATAAAGTAAATTGCTTTTTTATTTATTATTATTAATTTCGAAAACCGTTTAAAAGGAGTTTAATATTAATTTTAATTATATAATATTATAATTAATGAAATAATGTTATTAATTTATTATTTTATAAATTAATAATGTTTTTTTTAATAAAAAATTTCCTCGTTAATAATTTAAAAATTTATAAGTTAATTCGTTTATAAAAAAATTTATAATTATATTATTATAATTTATTTTCCATTTATAATTACGAGATATTATTTTAATTTATTTTTAAAAACTTTAAATTTTTATAAAGTTTTTTTAAATGTAAAATATAATTACGTTAATGGTTATTATTTTAAAACGAAAAGTTTTTTTTACGCATTTTAACGAATTTTAAAATAAATTCGTATTTACGTTATTAAATATATTATTAATAATATTAAATATTTTTATAATTTTTTCGAAAATAAAAACGTCGTTTAATAGTTTATTATTCGCGAAAAATAGTTAATTATTAACCGAAATTTTAAAATATTAAATAATTATACGGTAAAATTATAAGTAAAAAAAATTTAACTTTAAATAAATCGGTGGTAACGCCGTTACGGCCGTTAAATTAATTATTATATATATTTTATTTAAAATTAATTTAATACGTAAAATATTTTTATTATATAATATATTGTTTATTTTTTTTAATAATTTAAATTTATGTTTTAAGTAAGAAATAATTTTTTTATAATAATTAATTTTATATATAATTATAATTTAATAAGTTTTTATTTTATTAAATAAATTTTTCGGTCGATTATTAAAAAAAGTTTCGAAATAAACCGTAAATTATACGAATTAATTTTAATATCGAAAAATTCGCGTAAAATAAAAATATTTTTCGTTAAGTTATATTTTTTTAAATAAAAAAACTTTTTTTTTATTAAAAATTTTAATAAAAAATAACGTATTAAAATTTTTAATTAAATCGTTTTTATTTTAGTATAATTATGTTTAAAATAATAACGATTTATTTTTAAAAATATTTAACCGTTTATTAATATTAAAGAATTTTAAAAACGTTTTTAAAACGTTAAATATATTATTAAAAAATATTTTTATTATGCGAAATAAAATTAACTTTCGAAACTTTATTTTAATTATTATATAATTAAAAAAAAATATTATAACTTAAAATTTACTTAAAACTTTTAACTTTTAAATGCGATCGTAAAAATATAACGTTAAAAAATAAGTTTTAATAACCTTAAAAATTTAATTTAATAAAAGATTTTATATAAAAGAAATATTATTAAAATATGTAAATAATATATATTTAAAAGTTAGTAATATATTTTTAATTCGCGAAGTATAATTGTAAATAAATTAATTTTATAAAATAATTTAAATTAAATTAAATTAAGAAAGTTTATTTAAAAATTATTATATATTTATATTTCGAAAAGTTATATATAATTAACGTAAATACGATATATTTTAACGTATTAATAAATAATTTAACTTTTTCGATTTATTTATATAAGTTATTTTTTATAATAATATATTACGTTTTAAAATAATACGTAAATATACGAATTATTTAATATTTTTTAAACTTTTTTAAATATTACCGATATTTTTTTTAATTTATTATAAACGAAAGTAAATTATTAAAGTATTATAATAATAATAATTTATTATTTGATTTTCACGTTACGTTAAATATATTAATATAATAAAAAAAATATTATAAAATATTTTTCC